ATATTAATTTAGGAATTATTAAGAAATTCATTTCACGTTAAAGAATTTAATATTTTACCTTTTATTTAATGGATTAATTTTCTTATTTATGCTTTTAAAATAGCCATGATTAGTAATTATAAAGATAAATTCATATTTTATATTTTAATATCGTACTATATACTAAAAGACCTTATTTTAAGTTGTTATATTTTATTTAATAAACCAAAAAAATTTGCGAAATAACAATATTATAAATTTAATAATTTGGTTTTTAATGTTTTTAAATTTTAATACATTGTTTTAGTAAAGGATATGCATATGATAAGTTAAAATAATATTATAATAGTTATTTCACGGGGAGTCATGATATTTATGCGACACGTAAAATAACTTTTTTATCTCATGGAGACTAACGTCCAGTGATGGGAAAGAGTGGGAAAGATATAGATAAACTATAAAACACGCGAGCATGAAAAATATCATCAAAAAAAAATCACTGGCGACCAATTAGTGAACATGAAATAAAACATTTTATACCTTTAATAGGTAAAGCCTAATTATTATGATGGTTATTGTACGAAATAGCTAATTAAAGATTTTATAAAATGGTTTACCAATCGGCGTATCGGCGTATTCAATAAGTCTGCATGTCTTTTATATTTATAACATAGTAGTTTTAAATAAACTTTAATTTTTAATATTTGCCTTAAATTATTTCAAATATATCAGACAAAGTAACGACTGAAAAATAGATTAACTAATTTGATTACTTTGTTCAATTTAATAATCTGAAAATACTGTATATTTAAAACAAAACTTTCTAATCTTCTATATTTAATAATTATGAACTTTGAAAATGGTAGTAATAGTTTATGACAGCTATCGTTATTATTATTTAGAAAATGTTAGAAATTAGTATTAAGTGAAAAAAAGTAGAATTCTCATATTACTGACGTAAGTTCTGGTTTTATATTAATTAATATTTTCTAACATCAATTAAAGATATAAATATAATTTAATTGCTGATATAATGAATAATCTATTTATTCTGAAGATAATCTTTATATACGCTTCTATCTGCTATAGTTCATAATTTTACAATTTTCAATAATATAATTTTAAACGTTAAATGAAATAACTAGGTAACGTCAAAATATATGATTTGGTTAACCATATTTTATAAAGTATGTTGTCCATAAAATATACTTTGGAATCATATTGTATAATCCTGATCCAATTATGGATTATGCCGCCATGTTTACAGAATTATTTTTACGGTTGCGCCACGTGCCGTAAATACCCGTAATGCCGTAAATTAATTTCAGCCAGGTTCGTAATGCCTTCATGGTATATCACGTGAATTTACGCTAATTTCCAAAAAAGGAAAATTTCTTATCTATCATTTAGCTATTGTACAAGTCATGTGACCATTATCGTAATTAGGGAATTCAGCTACCTGTACTACCGGATACAAGATAAATATAGAAGTAGATTATTACAAAATTAGTAAACTATTTTAGTATAACCTATTTTTTTTTTTTTTTTTTTTTTTTTTTTTTTTTTTTTTTTTTTTTTCTTTCCTTTAGTAAAATTATTTGATTATTAATCACAATGTCTAACAATGTTGAAATGCATGTTGTTAATAATACTAATAATTTGAATGTATCAAATACTTCTAATTCATCACATAAAAAAGATACTCAAATTATTCAAAATTTTGATAAAATAGATATAAAGGATATAAAACCTACAACTCAAAATATTAATAAGAATATATATGAAGAAGATTTAAGTATTATGATAGATGAATTAATTGAACTTATTTTTAATAGTTTAAATAAAGGAAATGAAGATAATGTAAGAAAACAATATATTTTTGATTATATTGATAATCATAATATAATTCCACAAGAGCTATATAATTGGCTTTTAAATAATCAAAATAATTCAAATTCTATTTATTTACTTGGATATTTTAATTATAATGGAATTGTAACAAATATAAATAAACAAGAAGCAATTAAATTATATCAAAAAGCAGCAGAATTAGAAAATGTTGTAGCACAATTAGAACTTTCTGCTATGTATATAAATGGAAAGGGTATTGAAAAAAATTATAAAATGGCTTTTGAATTATCTAAAAAATTATCAGAAAGTAATAATCCAAATGCAATAAATAGGTTAGGATATTGTTATGATATTGGAATTGGAATTGATATTAATAAACAAAAGGCATTTGAATTATATCAAAAAGCAGCAGATTTAGGAAATTTAAATGGAATATGTAACTTGGGAGTTTGTTATGAAAATGGAGTTGGAACTGAAATTAATGAAGAAAAGGCATTTGAATTATTTCAAAAAGCAGCAGATTTAGGAAATTCTTATGGAATAAATAATTTAGGATTTTGTTATGAAAAAGGAATTGGAATTGATATAAATGAACAAAAAGCATTTGGATTATATAAAAAGGCAGCAGATTTAGGAAATTTATATGGATTATGTAACTTGGGAGTTTGTCATGAAAGTGGTATTGGAACTGAAATTGATGAAGAAAAAGCTTTTATATTATTTCAAAAAGCAGCAAATTTGGGAAATCATTTTGCTCAATATAATCTTGCTTTGATGTATGAAAATGGTAATGTAATTAAAAAAGATATAACTCAAGCAATTTATTGGTATAAAAAATCTGCTGAACAAGGACATATGAATGCTAAAGAAGTGTTAGAAAATTTTATTGAAGATTGAACCATTTAAATCATAATTTTATATAAAGTTTAATATATCATATGAGATTTTGTATAACATCCTATATATTATGACCTTGGTAAGGTAATCTTTTTTTTTTTAATAATTTAAGTTAAAGATCAAAATGTTTACAGAATAAATTTCGAGAATAAAATATTTAAATTTATATACGATAAATTAAGAATTTTTTTTATAATAGCTTATTTGTTGTTAAAATAGTTGTGAAACACATACAATAAATTAAATAATAATGAAGTAATCATAGACGTAAAAGCATATTTAATTATTTAAATAATAATTATAGGGCCAAGAAAAAGTTTTTCATCCCAATTAAATATCAAGAGTACATTCTTCGGGTATCCATTTAGTGGTTGTGCAATCAAATAAGATTCCAATAATATGGCTAGCTTCGTCAACTATCTGCAACGCATTTTGATTTTGCCAGAATAAAATTGGTGAATATTTTATATGTACAGAAAAATGTAAATTAAAAACTGTGAGATGTTATCATTTTAAAGAAGATTTTTAGAACTTTGATTTATTTCTCATCTACATAAATTTAATAGTTCGTTACCATTTAGTTAAAATAACTGGTAAAGAATAATTGTTGTACAAATTTAGCATAAAAACAGCATGGTGTGATCTTAAAATTTAAATTATTTGCTTATTTTTAAATTCTTTGTTACTCATATATTGTTCTACTATTATTTTTTCAATGCATATTCATTTTTCTATTGTAGTAATAATTATAAATCATTAATATATCAGTTTAATTACGGAAATTACAGAACAAAAATTAAAATATATAACCACAAATGCTTTATGATCAATTAAAAATTTCATAAACTTCTAAGTTTATTAATGCATCTGAATTTCCTAAATCTGCTGCCTTTTGATATAATTCAACTGCCTTTTGCTTGTTAACATCAATTCCAAATCCATAATCATAACAATATCCTAACATATTTATTGCATTTGGATTTTCCTTCTCTGTTAGCTTTTTAAATAATTCATAAGCTTTTTCATAATCTTTTTTATCCTTTTCATCCATATATATAGCTGCAAGATCCAATTGAGCTGCAATATTTTCTAATTTTGCTGCTTTTTGATATAATTCAAATGTTTTTTCCTTATTTATATTTGTTACAATTCCATGATAATTAAAATATCCAAGTAAATAAATAGAATTTGGATTATTTTGATTATTTAAAAGCCAATAATAAATTTCTTGTAAATTTATCTCGTTATTATTAATATAATTAAGAAAATTTTTCTTTCTTGTCTTAGTTTTAATTCCTTTATTTAAATCATTAAGGTAAATATTAATTAATTCTTCAATTATAAAACTTAGATCCTCTTCATATATATTTTCATTAATATTTTTAATTGTGGGTTTTATTTCTTTTATATTAATCTTATCAATATTATCATAATTTGGAGCTAATTCTCTATAAGATGAATTGGCCGTATTTGATATATTTGAATTATCGGAATCATTGGTAACTTTTATTTCGGACATTGCGAGTAATAATAAAATAGGTTAAAGAAATTTTCGTAAATAATTGCTTTATATGTGTTGCAGATCACACCGCAATAATAACGTGGCTGAAGCAGACGCAGTAGTTCTGGATCGATCATCAATGAGCTCATTACTGCGCCTGCGGCCATAATACCATACAAAAAAAATCAGTCGTGGACCGCAGTGGACGCAGTAAATTTGGCTAACATATTTTTAGTTTAATTATACGCAAAATATTTTGCAATTATAACTAGTGTAACGACTTCTCATATGCGTGTTACTAAATGAGATTAATTAAAATTTATATTTATTGAACTTAGTATATCAATATTTATGAAAATTCCTTGCCAAACTATTTTAAAAAAAAAAGAATATAAAAGGATATGAAAATTTTTATACGATGGCTCTATCTGAGAAATTGCCAAAGTGTAAAGTAGAATTTTCTTAGGCGTACGTCATTAGCAGAAATCTTTTTGTATTTTACGACATATGTTAAATTTAATCAAAATGTACATTCAAAACTATTGGAAAAATTTGTAAAATGTGCGACCATTTTTTAGAAATTAACATAAATAAAAAATTTTTATAATAGATAATATAAATAAAAAATTCGTTGACGCAATATATATATAATATAAATAATTAATATAAATAAAAATTTTTATAATAGACAATATAAATAAAAAAATATGTTGACTACAAAATCATACATTTTTTTTCATGAATAAAGTTGCTGAAGTGACAACACTTTTGAAAAACTTCGGTTTATCAATCGTTTCAAGTTATTATTTTACCTGCGCCTTATAAATAGTTCTTCATTATTATTTTTTTTTGAGATTTGAGAGGAGTTCATAAAACTAATTTTTAATGCGTTTTCCTATTTTTAAAAGTAGAAAAATAAATAAACAATATAAGCAAACAAATTTTAATAATATTTTAAAATATTTACCATTATTTTCACAAGAATTAATATTTAATTCTTCAATGTTCCTCTTAATTCCAAGTGAATTGAGCCCACTACTAATATAGAATTGTATTTGTTATAGACTTTCGTTGCTGGATTAAATTATAAATGACAAATATTTTAAATTTTATAATACCTTTCAATATCTATGTCTAATTTTAATTCTTCTGAAATGTAATCTATAAAAAAATAAAGTAAAATTAATTTATCTATCTAAAGATAATTTTTATTAAATAGCAAAATACATACCATTTGATGTAAAATTTATTGATGAACATTTAGAAAATATAGATGAACATTTGGAAATGTAAGAGTTTAATGATCTACTTGTATAAATAGCTTTTGGATGAGACTTTTCACTGAACTCGGGTCCAAGCTTCTTTGAATCTATTAACTTTTTCCTTATTAATTCAGCTTGATCAAATTGATTTTCGAATGATTGATCGGATTTACTTTTGGATTGAAGCCATTTATCACTAATATTATAAATTTCTTTTATAGAAGGTCTTTTTTTGGGATCAGGATCCCAACAACTTTTCATTAAATCAGCATAGGATTCTGGTGTATCTTTTGTAATTTCAGGTCGTACACCATCAATAATTTTATAAATAAGACTATGATCATGTTCAAAATTAGCAAAAGGCTTACAGCCTGTTGTCAGTTCCCACATAATCATACCCAGGCTATAAATATCAGTTTCTTTGGAAAATGCAGACCCCTTAAATATTTCTGGTGCAATATAAGGTATCACTCCATATATTTCATTATCCGATGAGTTATCATTTGCAGGTCGTGATAATCCTAGATCCCCGACAAAACAATCGTCAGACGAATTTACCAACACATTCCCACTGTGGAAATCTCGATGTATGAAATTTTTACTATGAATATCAGTAAGTCTAAAATAATAGTAATTAGTAAATTTGTATTATAAATTAATCATTTACTAATATATTTAAAATATAAATACCCAATTATAATATATTCTAGGAAATATAATTTATTTATCCATTTAATTTCTCTAAAGTTCTTTTGCAAATACTTATGCAAATCTCCTTCTGGAGCATATTGCATAACTAATATATAAATATCTGATTGAGGATCTTTTGTAAAACCATAAGTTTTAATCAAATAACGATAATAACAATGATAATTCGACTTTAACTATAAATTTCAAGATTAAATTTAAATTTTCATACAACAAATACGAATTTTTTAATCTAAAGTATTTACCTCATCTAAAAAATATCTGCTAACGTCCCGAGAATTTTTAAATCTTTTTAAAATAGCAATTTTATCACTATTTTTTGGACCATCTAACCAAGTTGCTTGATACACAATACTAAATCCTCCTTCCGCTAATTCTTTTACATTTGTAAATTGAGAATATGGTATATAATTCATAATTTTATATGTTTCAATATCATGATATAAAAAAGCAGTTATATCTGGCGAGAACCATCTACCAATATTTTTTACATTATCAACAAATTTAGCTATTGTTGATTGATATGATCTTGTACTAACAAGAAATTCATCTAAAACACTATTCCCACTGTTAATACTAATAATCTTTCTAATATCAATAGTAATAGTTGATATTCTTTTGCACTTTTTACATTGCGATTGATTTGTATATCCAAAAATTATGTTTGTTGTTAAACAGTATCTACACCCAATAAAAAATATAATACAATACATACAATACTTTTGACATTTTGATGTAAATACTAATTCCTCATCACAAAAATAACACTGAGACACATTATCCCACCATGGCAAATAAATAATTGAAATAAACTTTTTAGTAAAGGTTGATTCGATACATCCGGAAGATATTAGATAACAACTTGAACACAATATTATCTTCTTTTTATCTGTTCCATAATATAATAATTTTCCACATAGATTACAATATTTTTCACTTTCAATTAAATTTTTATATGAAATGTGTGATTCACTATCCGCATCCCGGTTAAATCGATAATCAGATATTTGTTTAAAGCATAATATTGTCAAACAATTTCTACAGCATTCTTGGATATTTTGTGGTACTTTTGTTATACTTATTTCATGTTTATTACACTCCAGTTCCTTTGTGAATAAATGTACGTCCAAGTATATATTATTAGTATCGGTTATATTGGTTAAATAATACGATAAACATTTTTTGCAATATCTGTAAATAGTCATTTCCGTATACTCTTCTCCACAATGAAAACAATTTTTATCATCACAATTAAATGAAACAAAAAAAATCGGTACGGGACTAGATTTTAATTTCGGTGTTGGATCAAAAGAATTTTCATCATTTAATTTTAAAAGTTCCATTTTTATAATATTACAGTATAAGAAACTTGACATATTTATAGTTTTTCAAATTCTTATAACGAATCCCTAAAAAAAAAAGGAAATTTCTGTCGGTGAATTCGCTATTGTACCATTGAAAATTCGGTTTTATTTGAAAGTACTTCACTACTTCATCGAAGGGCAGATGCATATTTGTAATAAAGTTGATCTGCAAGACTAACCTTATTTGTTTTCACACATCAAAGGATTTCAGATTTGATTGGTGCACCCCAGCCAAATAATCGACATAGTTTCTAAGCTAGGTGGGCGTTAGAGGTCTGCATCCACTATTTTACAACCCGGCCCGGACCCGGCCCGGGTGAATTTTGAAGAAAATTTGCCGGCCTAAACACGGATCCGGGTCCGGGCCGGGTTAGGGTTTCTGGGTTCCGGGTCCCGTTTGCAAACCTCTAGTGGGCGTGCATTACATCTTAGTTTATAAACTGCCCATGTGCAGCGATGTGCATTGGAACATTGGAAACTTCCAATTCTTCAAATTCCAACCCTCCAACCCAATAAAATTTCTATTGGAAGCTTTCAATACCATAGATTTACATATATATTATATGTAAGATAATATGAATAAAAAATTATTGGAATATTGAAAAGAATTGGAATTGGAAGGATTGGCTGATCTTCCGACCAAATTAAGAAATAATAACAATTTTTTATTTAATAAAACCGTATAAACTATATACAAATATGTCAAAAAACATATTAATTACACAGACGCAGAAAGAGTTGATATGCAAATTTATGGAAGACTTTTATAGCGAGTTTACAGGACTGGAAGGAAAAAGTTTTTAGAACAAATATACAAGATAAAAACTGTGAATGATTATGTCAACTTTGAATGGAAAGAACTAGCTGCTAGGCCCGAACGCTTTTATGGAAGCAGGAAAAGTTATAGCCAGGAATACTCACGATTGGTATTAAAACGACCTTTAGAGGCATATTTGGTTGGCACTTTTATAATAAAATGGAACGGCAAAGCTCTTTTGAACCATTTTAAACTGTTTCTTGAAAAAAATTTTTCCAACGAAAGCCGCAGTAATTCTTCGGTACCATGTGATTTGGAGAATTTGATTTAAAAAATGTAACAGAAGAATAATATTGAGCCATAAAGAGAAACTTGAAGCCATTATATCTTAATTTAGAAAATAGAATTAAAAGGAGTTAGAATCAGAAAAGAAAAAAGAAACGAGTAACGGAATCAAAAGAAGTAAGTCTGGGCGGAAGCGTAACAACCGGAAAAAAATAAAACAAAAAAAAATGTGAAAAAAAATATATATTATATATATTGTAATGTGGAAAAAAAAAAAAAAAATTTTTTTTTTTGCTTGTGAATTTTTTCATTTATGAAAATTGGCCTTTTTATTGAGTTGATATGGAGAACAAAAGAATTTAAACATGGAAAATAAAATAAATCAGCTACACAAAAACCGCAAAACGGAAACAGCAACTATTTGGATAAACATTTTTCCTTTACATCACGTAACTTGAGATTTACGATTTTCTGAAAGATGAGAAAATATATGAAGCGATGAAACAAATGGGCCATGTGGAGCGCTTAACGGTTAAACGAAACTACAAATACAAAAATGTCCGTATAAGTTTTTCACATTATTATTATAAATAATATGATATTATGAAATAATTAATTTACCGTTATTAAGAATTAAATGTCGAAAATTTAAATGTTACGTTACATACATTTATATATATACATTTTTTTGTGTTTTGTGAACCAATTTATTTGCGTGTTATTCTATCACTACCTTACTATATTTAATAGACATCATTTTGAATACTGCAATAACAAGTATTGTACAATATTAATATGTGTAAATTGTGTTACTGTTGAAAAAAATTGCATATTTTGTAAATTAGTAAAGAAGTTACCAGTTATTATACAATAATGCAAATTCAAATTTTATTATTATTTGGAAAAAAGTATTCAAGAAATAATAAATCTTTATTACATATTTAACGTAATAATTTGTTTTAGAAAAGGAAAAGTACTAAATAGTAATATGTTACTAACTATCAATTAATAAAACTAAACATTATTTGAACAACAATTATTTTGATTTTGTAATAAATAAATTAATTGATCAATTTTATCCTGTAATATTTGATTATTATCATTAGATTGAATTTTTAAAGAAGTTATTAATAAAGTTTGGGATTTATTTTCATCCTCATCAACGAACCAATATGATGATAATGGAATTACTTGTTCTTCACTTTGTAAAGTATTAAAAGTATTAGAAGAAGGAATTTGAAGAGAATTGGTCAGATCTCCATCACTATCAACAATATTACCACCACTATTATCATCATCACAATTATCATCATCACAATTATCATCATCACAATTATCATCATCATTAGAATCATCACCATCATCATCAACTTTAGCTAATAAATTTTTATGATTGTCTCTAGCTTTTTTAGATTTTTTTAACCATCTTTCAATATAATTAGAATTTGCAGTAAAATATATATATCGAGGATTTCCATCTTCATTTCCAGATAATTTTTCAATTGTTTCATAATCTGCAATCATTTCTGCCCGAAATTTTAATACGGCATGTCTACTAATTTCTTTTGCATCATCAAATGCCGAACTAATAGTGAAATAATTAGTTGATAGTTTTGCATAGTTGATTATCATTCAAATATAAGTTAACACTTACGTCATAATTGCGATTAACATATTCTGTAAAATTGTAACAAGAAGAATACTACCAATGATAGAAATAACATCTACTTCCCAGATATTCCATTGATCTAATTGATCCCAACGACCATTTGTCCAAAAGAAAACTGCTTCGATAGATTTAAGTAAATTTGCATAATAATTATCTACATCTATCCTTTGTTTCATTTCAATAGTGTCTTTTCCATTTACATCGAATTGATATGTAGTACCTTCGGGTTTAATATGATTATCCTTAAGTAAAGCAAACCTATCAAGTAAAATACAAAGGTTCATGAGTTAATAATTACGAGAACAATATTGGTTGCACAAATTAAATTTAACTAACATTGAAAAACCAATCCCGAAAACAAACAAAAGAATAAAAAGTAAGAATGGTATTATTTGTTTCAAAATGTTGTCAATGATATAAATGTAAGCCCCAGTTTTTTCAAAATATCGTAATAACTATTTTTTTAAAAAAAAATTGGTATAATTAATAATAATTAATTTATAATATCATATGAAATGTTATAATGCATGTAGACATTTTAAATAAGCTTACCAATAAATGCTCAAATGAAATTACCAAAATTGTAAATGGTGTCATATAATCAGCTTTATATCTTACAAATCCAGTAAAATAACATATCATTGGCAGAAGTATTGAAACCGAATCAAAAAAATTATAAAAATTAAAATATCTTTTCCATCCATCATATTTTAGCCGAATTCTTTCAGTATTTAATAAATAACCTCCAGTCCAAAAAAATCCAATCAATATTGCAGAATAATATATAACTATCGAAACCAGAATAGCAACATTTTCATCATTTTCAGTTAAAGGAGCAATTCTATAACCTTCAAAACTATACACCATTAAGACATAACACATTGTAAATATGAAGTATAATAATATTTTTCTAAAGAAAAAACTTCTCGCCAAATTCCACTTAAAATCTATTATTGCGGCTATTGATGGATTATCATAAATTTCTGCACTATTTTCATTTCTAATCATTCGTAAGAATGGACTCATTTTTTCTTCTTTTCTAATTACATGCCCACGTGGCCAAATCAGCAACTTTAGGAATTTAAGAAAAATCATCCAACATTCTTTTCTTTTATCATCAATTCCTTCGGGATACAAAGTGAAATCTGGGAGAGGAACGACGTAAACTTGATTAGGAGTAGAAGATGATTTTGTCCCTATTACGTTCGAAGTTGTCATTTTCTCACTAAATATTTTTAAAAAAATTGTTAATTCACCAAATACTTTTTATTTAATTAATATACAGCAAATATTACCTTTGTTTTCGAGAAAATAATTTTCGTATAAAACCATCCCCATTATTTTTCTTGGGAAGTGAAGTATCCACTTTTATCGCATGTATATTTTTCTTATTGTTTTTGATAATATCTTTCATAACCTTACTGGAAATGTTGATTCGTTTCAAGCAAACTTCATTAGAACCAAAACAAGGTTTTTGAAATAATTCTTTAACATAAAATGCTAATTGATTATCATAGAGTAATGGAATTGCTTTAACAACGGTAAACATCCAATTTGAAGTCTTTATTGCATTATCTGAATAATAGTCTAATAAATACTTAATTATAATTGTATATTTACGATGTCTTCTATTTGTGCATTTAATAGCAATCTCAAGATCGGTTTCTTTAATTTGTTTGCTCCAAGAATAACATCTTGGAATATGTAGATATTTACTTTTTCCATCACCGGATTTAGAAGATAAAATTTTTCTGATGATAGAAACACGATTACCACGAATGAGATTTGCCATAATATCAAAACGTATATCTAACATTCTCCACAGTCCACATTTCTTAACAAAAAATTTTTTGATAATAATCTCGGTTTTTTGAATTAAATTTTCAATATGAAGTTTTTCCTTTAAATTATTAGATTCACGCCTTGTTTTTTCAAGGAATTCTAATGTTTGACATGCATCTACTGGAGTATTAACTTTTTCAGGCCATTCAAACTCAATTTCATTTCCAAGTTGAGGTGAATTTCCAGAAGGTATATGTAATTTTAAATAGAATCCATTAAGTCCGACTTTTAAAAGATGAATTTGAAATTGCTTATGTTTTTCTGTGTGCTTATTTGCCCAAATGTATTCAAGAACTTTTGAACCACTTTTTCTTTTACGCCATACTTGAACAGTTAATTCTCCAATAATTAATTGAATAGATTTATTATCATCAAGATATACTGAAATACGTTTGTATCTTTTGTTTTGTAACCATGGTTCAGGATTTTTAATAATAATTTCTTTATTATTTTCAGGTTTAAAGCATAAACGTTCTCCAAAAGAATTATAAATTAAATGATAATCTGTTATAGGCGAGGACGATGATGACAAAAAAGTATCATTAATATAATGAGAATTATCAAGTATAATAATATTTCTCATATTATTATTTTCAGAGCTTAATAATTTAATAATTTCTGATTCTTCTAATATTGAAATAATAGTTCCACCTTCTGTTATAATAATAAGGTTTCCAGAAGAATTTATTAATCTTTGAGGATATTCATATTTTGTGGGAAAGAGTGAATAACTATCATTTATTCTTTTAACACAATTATCAGAACAATCAAATAAATCCCAGATCACAATTATAGGTATAATATCAATTTCTTCAGTATCATTATTATATCTTCCTTTCTCAATAACAATTAATAATTTACTATCTTCTTGTATAAAATCAAAAAAAAGTATTTGAATATTTTTATCATTAAATTTCCTTGTAGTAACTTTTAAACCATTTTCCATTAAATAAATAGTAATACAATTTGCACCATGACAATAAGCAAAAAGTGTTTCATTATTTGAAATAGCAAAACAGGAAGGACCATTTCCCATAACATATTTTTCAAATTTTTGAAAAGTATTTTCTAATAAATTTGTTTTTAAATTATACATTTCAACAGTTTGTATTTTATCTTTATAATCTTCTACAACGAGCCGTCCTTTCACTAACCTTCGTTGAACGAAAAACCAAGTTTCATTCATCGAAGACTTTTTCAATTGGTTTAAAAATTTTGTTGGAAAATTAAAATATTCAATTGATTCATTAGAGCGAAAGAAATTAAACATATCATTATGTTTTTTATTAATCATTCCTCTAATTTTTTCATGTTTTATTAAATATTTAATGATTCCATCCATATTAATAAGAACTATTTCAGTTGAATCATCACCTTTATTATCCAAGAATTTAACGATACCGCCGAGATTATTGATACTAGAAAATATTCTTGACTGTTGTGCCACAGAAATAATCCATGTAGACGCCAAACTTTTTTCAGTATAAATCATATCATCACTATAATTATTGATATCATCAATTTCTTCATCATCAAAATGACTTTTATAATTTATTTCAGATTTAAAATGAGAGACAGCAATTAGAACATCGATAGTCCCATCAGCCAAAGTAAATTCGTTGGATATTGATAAACTCCATTTTATTTTTTCCAAAGGCATATCAATATTTTTAAATCCTGCACAATTTATTTCACGTAATTGTGTTATCTTATCAAATTTGCATAATTTTAATTGATAAGTTTCTGCGTTTAATGTTACTATTTGAGTACCATCTGAACTTACAGCAATATATTGATGGTCATCACATGAGATTAAATGTTTTGAATCAAATGAACAAATTGAATCGATTTCTGCTTTTTCTTCATCATTTAATAAATATGATAATTTTTTATGTTGCGGGAATACCATTATTATTAATAGTCTTTAATTTCTTTAACATTATATTTATCATATTTATATAGAATATTTATGATGTGCATGATTGGTTGTTTGAAGCGTAACGTCTTTTCCATATTTCCCGTTTTTTTAACCATATTTGTCCATATTTCCGTTCATATTTCCGTTTTTTGTCCATATTTCTTGTTTTTTTATTTGACAATTTTAATGAAGTATTTGGAAATACAAAAAAGTCTTTCTATAATTGTCATATAATCGTTCAAAAAGGAAATTGATGTCGATCATTAAGTAGTCACAAATGATCGGCAATTACTAATGAACGATTTACGTTCATTCTCATTTTAATAAATTTAATAAATTTAAAAAGGTATGTACAAGGTAGATAACCCAAAATTATAAAAGGATCCACATATATTGTTTATTAAGTCAAATTTCAATTAGATATGATCATCTCAAATATAGATTATCAACTGAATTTCAATCAATTAGTGTCCAAAATTAGATAAATTATAAATAAAAAATAAAAAAAACCATAATATAACATGATGTTAAATAAATAAGCTTTGTAAGTTGTAATAACTTTATTAAAAATTTTTCTTCCTTTTTCTATATTTCAAAATAAAAATTTTAATTATTAATGAGTTGTTGATAATATTGCTTCGATCCATAACCGGGTTCAACCGGATAATTTTCCGGATAATTGCGGTTTTTATTCGGTTAATCCGGATTTGACCCGAAATTCTGGATAATAAAATTTAAAAATTAATTTTTTGATCGTGGTCGATAACCACCATAATAGTAGTGGCGCAGCAATTTTGTTGATCACGAATTTTAACGGAAAATCGAACTTCATTTAATTTGTTTTTATATTTATTGTAATAAATTTATTGTGTACAAATGCTAAAAAAATAATTTACATTTTTTTTTTTTCAAATTAAAAACTGAAAGGGTAAAGTTCATAATGCCGAACTAATTTAACCTGAATACATCAAATAAATATTACGTATTTTAAATCGATCTACAAAAGGTAATTTTTATATAATAAAATCATTATTATTACTTAAATTTTTTTAAAATGTGATATAAGCAAAGAAAGAAATAAAAACATACGAATTTCCCAAGTCTTAATTCTTAAACCTTTACAACTCATAACTTAAATAGTATAATTTTAAACATGCAAAGTAGCATGAAATTGTTATCTATAACATAAAGTTATTAACCCATTAATTAGAGAAAGGGGTTATTTTCTTACATTTCCATTAAATTCTTTTATATATTATCTTTTTCATATCTGGCGATCTGCTATTATATAAAAGCCCGTCTCGACGTCTCGAACGTCTCGTCTAGCAGCGCACATGCATTCTGCAGATCGACGGATATGCGAATTTACTACTATTTTTTGTTTAAGTTTTTTTTTAAAAAAAATCACCAAACAAACCCTGAAGTCCTGAACATTTTTTCGACATCATTTTTGAAACAAATTGTGAAACAAAAATCCTTTTTACTAATATGGTTGCAATAAATAAAATTTTAAAATTTCCAAACAGTTGGCTAATTAATTAAGATATATTACACAACATTTATTCATCTATACATGAAAGCCAAATTTTATGTGATTAATATTTGTGAATAAGGTGATATAGTATAATAAAATAAAATTCTTCCAACATTAATTCGTAAAAAAAGAATCAATAAAATGAAATATAGCAAATAGATCATTGAAATTATGTTTAAAGCCCATATTGACAAATTTGCAGAAGACTGCTTGTAGTGAACACTCTTGCTACCAATACTCCAACGACCAGTCAGTGATACCATAAAATTCAAAATATTTAAAATATTTACGTAAAAATCTATAACAAAGATGTTGTTGATAATATGATAATATTTTCATAATAATGTAAACAGATTAGAAGACCCTTTCTTATTTTTTTTGAAATGCCAAAAACAATTAATTTATTGCCATTTTTAATGGATAAAATCGAATGTCGATTATGAAACACACAAATGATGCAGTACTTCTTGTCGTCAGATAGCACAGGGCTGGCATTACGACATTATGCAAGAACACATGAAAGTAAACAATGACGAAAATATAATAGCGCAAACTTGATGGTTGTGATGACTTAGAGGTATGCTATGTGAAATTATTGCCGGTGCGGCTGGCCGGCTGGGCTAGTTAAACCCGAGTGTAGAACAGTTACTGCGGCTTCGCCTTATCATTTGTATTTACGTGGGCAATTAGGAAACATGTAGTGTATAGAGACCCTTGTGTGTAGTGTATGGTGAAATTTAGCTATGTACGTATGGTTGCACTGAGTGTACTGTACGTACATACATCTGTCTCTTATACACATCTAGATGTGTATAAGAGACAGATTCATCACATCGTCACGCCCGAGCCTTGTTTCACTGTTTATAATTATCTGAGGGACTTAGTTTTTTTCGAGTGAGTAAAAACTTATTCGTCACGCCTTTATTCGTCACTTTGTTTTCACGTGTTAGTGCATGACGCCGTAAAACGGCCCTGTTTGCAAAATTTGCCGGTTCACATATGCTGCGCCACTGGATACATTTATATATACATATAACAATTACGTATGGTTAGTGTACATACGTACAAAAAATATGTTTGTCATGTCGTACAATCACAAAATCAACGTATAGTGCACATCACTATACACTACATACATAGGTGTCTATACATAACATCTTTTCTATATAATCTATTTACGTGCGTTCGGTCTCTTATTTCTTTCATACGTACGTACGTTTTGATTTAATTAATATTATTTATGTACATATTATAAATAATACACTTAGTGCAACTTAGTGCAATCAAACGTACATAGCAAAAGATCACCGTACACTACACATAAGGAGACCCGGGAAAATTCCATTTTTATAATAAATGAATAAATCGGAATTTTTGCTGTATTATGGAATAAAACGGAATTTTTATGATTTTTAACAATTTTATTCCGACACGTGACAACTAGTCAATAATTATTGCATATTTTATTTCGTGATAGAAGTCTCATTAAAAAATGTGATTTTGCAATTTTGCAATATCTATACAGTTTTTGGCTAAAATTATTGTCGTGTCACTAGCGCAACCTAAGTTGGCCTGAATTCTTACTATAATTGGTAATTTTTTATCAGAATAAAATCGAATTTTTTCCGTTATCGTGATAAAAATTTGCGATTTAATATCGGAATAAATCCGGTCTCTGCTAAGATCACATAGAAACATGTATCGTCCGGTGAGCTATGTACGTCGCGTCCAGTGCGACATGTAACAGTTGAAATAGCTAAACAACACTCCCAATCACGTGATAAATATATGTTATATGACACATCAATACTTTAATGCATAGTCACGTGAAAGCGTCACACCCGTGTACAACGTATACGCAACACCATACAGACGTACAAAGCACACCGGACACTACATGTTTCCTGCGTACCCGTTTCGTACATTCGTAATTGCCCGAAAAAAAAGGAGCCAAAACTTTGTGTGATTTAAATAAAACAATTTAATATGTCATAGATTAGTAATATTTATTACACAAACACATTTTGATTATAATTTACTTAATTCGGTTGGTATAATAAAATTTTTTCTTAATAAAAAATATGGAAGGAAGTTCAAGTCAGGTAAATTATTATTTAAAAGATATTAAAATTAATTAATTGCATATCATTAAAATTAACTTTATATAATAATAGAGTGGAAATTCTTCTACTAATACTGCTTCTGGTAGCTTAGAAAATAATGACCTTGTTTCATATAAAACGATTTTTTATGAAAATATGCTCAATAATCATATCCTTCTCAAATTAGAAGAGGATGGATTCACTACTCCAGATGATAAAGTAGAAGAACTTTTAAAAAATCTAACTAAACCAAGTTATTTGTATGCACTTAAATTACTTTTTGAAAATTTACAAAATGAGTTTTCGTCTCAAGTTTTAGAAAATTCATTAGAAGCTTTAGTTGATACTTCTTTTAATCATTATTCAAAAGAAAGTGTAGCTAGATTGGAATTACATTTAAGAATTTTGGTTACTGTTTTAGAATGGATATGTTTTTCACCAATAGTACTTAGTAAAGAACTTCGAGATAAAGTTTATAATTCTTTGGCAAAATTTGCAGAAATTCATCGTAAAACAACTCAGGTTATCGAAATAGGACTTGATAATAATTTTAGATCAAATTTTAATCAATTCAATCAACAAAATAATGTTCAAATTGCAATTAAAAAGCGTAATTATAATATTGATTTTTTATTAATCCATTTGCGAGATACTCTTCATAGTTTACGTGATGATGATTCTTGGTTTCATGAAATTATACGAAGAATTAGAGACTTACTTAAGACTGCATTGAATATTACACCAGGAATTCTAACAATAGCAGGAATCAATCTTCCAAATGATAGTTCAATCTTATCAATGCTTACTCAAATACGTCAAAGTTTAAGTTTTAAATATCCAGTAGCATCTTATTATGTAGATTGGAGAATTATGTTAATAATTCAACATAATCTTTTCATTTGGTCTGGAAGTTCTGAAAAGACCATAAGTAAAAAATTTGGAGAATTGGTATTAATGGAATATATTTGGAGCTTTTTGGAAAGAGAATGGGTTGATGCTGCGGACAAATCTATTTTAGATTCTCAAACAAAATTTGATGAAGTATCAAATAAAGTCGCTAAAGCTTTGAAAAATTTTGGAGGTTTTTTAAATGAACTTGCTGGAAATGAACCTATAGCACTACCACATATTTTGTGGTTTGGAATATTAGATCTTGCACAAAATCTTATTCAAAGATCATCTCGAATAGCAACATATGGTCTTTGTTATTATTTAGCAATTGAATCACTTAATAAAGCACCAAGCAGTTTTATTCAGTTTAAATCTATTGAATTATTATTACATTTATATAATATTGATAATAAAATGTTTTCAATGATTGAAATTGATTTTGATCAATACATGCAAAAATTAAGTGAAAATAATTTGGAAGAATCTTTAGAAAAATTTCGAAATTTATTAACTTTTGCTAAAGAGAAATACCTTGAAGATTTAAAAATTCTAAGTAATAATACTGGAAAGGAAAAAGAGGGGAAAGGAAAAAACTCAAATCAAAATTCATATTTAAAGAAAGAACAAATATCAAATTTTAACATTTTAGATGTTATAGCAGATGAAATTACTTGTCCAATTAATAGTGAACCAACGGATCAATTATGTATTTTAAAATGCCAACATATGCTAGCATTAAGCAATTTAAAAAAATTGAAGCAAAAAATATGTCCTAATTGTCGAGAAAAAATTGAAGATAATGATATTAGATATTTACCACAAAATTCAATTTATAAAAATTTGTATACAAAATTTTTTGAATCTGGACGTATTTTACCTTCAATTGAATTAGAAAATTCTGATCAATTATATGACAGTGATGATTCAGATAATTCGGAAGTTGAACTCATATTAACTAAAAAAAAGGAATTTATGAATTCAATTATTAAATTAAATTCAAAAATATCATTCCCAATATTTTCAAGAATTACAAAAAAACAACATCCAACATTCCAAAATATTATAAAAGAAATAAATGAAAAAAATTATGAAAAAGCTGAATCTTTATGCAAAGAATTTATAAATTTTTTTCCTAAAAGTTATTCTTTAAGATGTATTTTAGCGTATATTTATAGATGTCTTGACAATTATGAACAAGCACACTTATTTTCAAAAGAAGCTATTGATTTAAAACCCAAAAGACCAGTTGCTTATTTTATTTGTGGAGAAATATTTTTTAGACAAAATAAATATGATAAAGCAATAGTTAATATAAAAAAATCATTAGAACATAAATCAAAAATAAATAACTTATATATATTACTCGGAAATAGCTATTTTTCATATTATTATGTTTATAGAGCAGCTAAAGCTATAGAAAATTATAATATTGCATTGAAAAATGATCCAAATAATTATTTATGTCTTAAAAATTGTGCATACATTTATGAAATAAAAGTAGATTATTTGAGTGCATTAGATACATTAGATAAATTATTAAATATCAATAACGAGGATTCTTTGGTTTTATGTTATTATGGAGAAATTTTATATAATATGACACAATATAGAAAAGCTATATCATACTTTACAAAAGCTTATACTATAGATCCAGAAAACATTCATAACTTGAATAGGAGAGCTATTACATACTGTATTATTAAGGAATATGATAAAGTATTATCAGATCTTGATAAAATTATACAATTAGATCCATTAAATAGCTCAGCATATTATCTTAAAAGTTTAACGTATTATGCAAAGAATGATAATAACAAAGCTAAAGTATCATTTAAAAAGTATGCAGAATTATTGAATTCTGATAATACTTTAGCAAAGATTCAGTTATTTCATCTAGAATACTTACTAAATAAAAATAGTTCTATATATTTAAACAATATATTAAAAAAAATCGATCAAATTCATATTTATAAAGATGAATCACTACATTTTATTGAATGCAAAACTTATATTGAATTAAAAGAGTATAGTAAAGCAATACCACTTTTGAATAATTATATTGGATTTACATTTATTGGTTATTTTATACAAGATCATCCAGATTTTTGGTCATATTTATATGAAGTTTGTGAAATTAACAAAAATGATTTTACCGAATTTGGAATTGTCAATGAATTTAGTAAATATATGTATAAAGGTAAGTAAATATTCAAATTATTTATTATCTTCTAGTTAAGTTAATGATAATTAATATCTTAAACTCATTAGAACATGGAGTATATTTTGTTTCAAATCTTATAAATTTGAATAGTGAACTTTGTCAATTTCAAGAAAGTGATATAAGCAGGTAAGGTTTACTCATGATAATAATACTTTAAATCAAATAGTCTTAAATACAAATTAATCATAATTTTAAAATTAAAGTTTATCAGGACTGGTAATGTCTTCTAAAAATGAAAATCTTCATTTGGTTTTGCCTAAACTAGAAAATAATTATTATGATAATCTCATTTGTAAAATGAATGTTAAAAAAATATTATCTAAGGATTGCTTTATAAAATTTATACCCAATGGCGTAAGTTAATTGATTAAAATCTCTATTATTTTATTTAAATTTAAATTAATATTAACTTAATTATAGAATTATCGTAAAGATTATATGTTAAAACATAAAGATGTATCAAAACTTGAGGGGTTAGGTTGGATAGAATATCAGATTTCAATATATGGCCTACATAATGCTCAACTTTCAATTGAAATAAATTCTATTGAGATGGTATGTTCCTATTTACTTATTCAGATTAATTACTTTCAGAACAAAATATAATAATATTTTTTGATTTACATAGCAAATAGAATATGTTCGATTTGATAATCCAAACACAATAACTTACATTCCCGACATGAGTTTTATGAGTTATTTGTTACCAGATTATCACAAATTTTTCTCAAATGTTCCAGAAACTTTCAAAGACAAGTATTTTTCAAGAAAAGAAATGGAAAATTTATTTGATTTAAAAGATATCCTTAACAGCTTATAATTATTTACTTTTCTTAATAATATCATTTTTGCTTTATTCAACATACTTTGGAAAATTTTTTAAGTATTAAATAAAAAGAAAATCGTTCGTTTCATGAACTTTTTATTGAAAAAATTAAAATTGATACATACTTGTTGGAAATTTACTAGTATCTACTCCTAGAATACTTCATAAAATGTTTAGTAACTCAACTTTATAGTAAGTTATAAAATATTACATAAAACATTTATTCAAATCTTTAAATAGAATATAACAAAGTATATTAGTTAAATTTTACAGCTAATATTTTGACATTAATGACAAACATCACTGAAATAAAATGTATTGCATATTAATTTATTTGATATAATAAATTTTATTTAACAAATTATAAAATGTATATTTTAATCTTTATTAGAAAAACTAGGATAATTACTAAGTACAAGTTAGTAAGCTTTTAAGCATTATACTTTATTTAACTATCCCTTAAATTGTAAGGGTTAAAATTAATTTTAAAAATCTTTGAAGTTTTAAGAGTTCGCACTGTTATATTATTAAATTATTAGCCATTTGATAATAAATATGGTGCGAACCCATTTTTGATTAGTAATTTGATAACAAACAATAGGTTTAATAAAGAAATGGCATGAATCATTTCTTGTTAAGTGATTTAGATAATAAAAAATGGGTTCACACCATTTAATTATTAAATCAATTAAAAACTGTTATCTAATATTTAAAAACACTGCAATCACGTGGGCGTTATGTTTAGGCTACCCACATAAATAACCATTTACAATACATCGTGCGCAACTTAACCTAGATCATCCTCATTATTTATTTACCACATAACAAAAAAATGACATTTCGATATTTACACAAGATCCTACGGTGGTGCATTTTCGAGTTATTTAACAAAAACCTTTTTTTTGACAAATCCAATTTTGGAAATGATCGGCAAAAACGATAAAATCGGTTTTTATATACTAAAGTCAAATCTACTTCCAAAACCTCCTTCCATTTATAAGTGAATTTTGTAAAACAGATTAAAATACACATAATGTGTAAATTTGAAAGCATTACATAAAAAAGTTAAAGATTTTTTGAAATTACTGCACCACATTGCGCCGTCAACCTGACACACATTTCAGACGTGCGAATTTTACTCAGTGTTACGCAACATTATTATACTCTTTCGAAACATATTCATCGTTTATCAACGTTGGTCACCTTTAACAACCATATTTTTGTATATATACCTGTAAATAGCGCATAAACATGTCTAACTTAAACGACATAATGATTATTTTTTGTCTTGTTTTAGGCGACAGTATCGAGGACCGTTTCACGATTAATATTAGTAGGACTGAAGGAAAAAAGATAGGACGAGAGAAAATCAGTTTCGAAAAACTCAATATTGATCATTTCAAAAAACTGTTATGCGAATATTACAGGTACACCTTTATAGCCAACGAGTTAAGGTTATGGAAGGTGTCCATTTCCACAAAGCCAGAAGACAAGGACGATAAACTAACAAAATTACAAGACGTACCAAATGTTCACGCAGGGATTGATATTAAAAAGCAACTCGGAGGTGTGCCATTAAACCCGGATGACTATATTAAAAACATTTTTGTTGAGGATCCTCCCGATAAACACATTCACATCATAATAGAGAAACCGGGTAAGTACTGGTTTGGTATAAATACTGTTTTATTAGAAAAGTTATGGCGGAAAATACTTATCTTTGAGGATATCTTGTACAACTTTTTCGACTAACTTGCATTTCCTTTCTTCTTTTTTCTTTTATCCCTATATTCAGCCAAAGAACCTCCTTTGAAGAGAGCACGTACAGAAGAGGAAGGTAAATATTCGCAGAATAAAGAAGGCATATACTCCCTTAGTATTCTCTGTAATTTACAAAATCATTCTAATCATTTTTTCTAGTGCCACCGTGGTCACCTTCGTGCAAAAGACAAAAGATGATAAAATGTATGTGCACTATTCTTTGTTTATTTCCCTTTTTTCTTTTCATAGAGACTAATCTCTTTTTCGATTATGTTAGATGGTACTGCTACTCTCTTCGCAGGAAAAAGCATACCCATTGGCTGGGACAGCTTCAGCAAAATTGTGAACGGAGGTTGCACTTTTCTTGATAAGACATCTCTGATCTCCGAGTTCATTGAGTGCAATTCGAAAGTCTCTCTTATCGTTCGGCCAAGGCGGTTTGGAAAAACAATTAACCTCACGATGCTTAGAGATTTTTTTTCGATTCCCATCCACCCAGACAATAAGAAATACCGCCGTGAATTGTTCGTAGACATGAAAATTATGGAGAAACAGAGCCTTTTTGACACACATTTTTGCAAGTACCCAGTCATCTTTCTCTCTTTGAAGGTATGGCATTATTTGCATCCGGACTGCTACTGTGAATTGTTCTGTTGATCTGCCTTTTTTTTACGTTTCCTTTGCAGAATTTCGATGGCTGTGAAACTTGGTCAAAGATGAAAATCAAGCTATTTGGGATGTTTGCAATGCTGTACAAAAATCATAATTATGTTTATGATAAACTTGACCCTTATGAGAAGACACGTTTCAGTCAAATACGTTCTGAAGATGAGAATTGTAAACGCATGGATGATGTTCTCGTTGACCTTTCTAGGTATCTGAAAGATTATCATGGAAAAGAGTGTATCGTCCTAATTGATGAATATGACCATCCTCTTGACATTGCCTATCGGTATCAATATTATGAAGAAGCTCGTGGTTTTTTTGCTTCTCTATTTGGAGCGCTCCTCAAGGTAAGCACTTATTACATATTTTAGACTGTCTTCGTAAGATCATGCAAGCGATAACCTAACAAATGATTGGATTGACAAATACAGAGCAATGACGACAATTTGGAAAAAGCTCTTCTTGTCGGTGTGTCCCGTGTTGCCAAATCAGGATATTTGTCAGGGCTTAACAACATGCAAGTATTCCCAATGCACGATCAAGAGTATGCTGACAAATTTGGCTTCACTGAAGATGAGGTTTCCATTATTCTTCAACATTACAAAAAGTCTCAAGCTAAGAAGGTCAAAGATTGGTATGACGGTTATATGGCTTCGAATGGTACAATACCTTTATACAATCCTTGGTCAATCAATAAATTCATTAGCACGAATCGTTTGGAGGCACACTGGGTAGATACAGGTAAGGCATGCATTAATTGGCCCTGTTAGAAATTGTTTCATAACATGGTTTCTTGAAATATAACAGGAGGCACCGCAACTATCAAACAATTACTTTGGCACTCAAATGAAGACTTTAGAAACAAAACCATAATGTTGCTCCGAAAAGACGCGGTCAATGTGGAGATTATGGGAGATATCGATTACAATTTATTATCTCAATGTGCAAATGATACACTATGGACATTACTTTACTATGGAGGTTATCTTACCATGAACAAAGAAGGGCATCTATACATTCCAAACACAGAGGTTTTCACAGAATGGAAGGGATGGTTAAATAGAAGAATTTCATTTAATCCAGATACAATGTTGGAGATGCTTTTGCAATGCAACCTCACGAAATTTGAGAAAGAACTTCCAATAATGATAATGGAATCTCTTTCATATTTTGATGTTCCAGATAACTTAGCGGAAACTAATTATCATATGCTCATGGTTGGCATACTTTCACCAGTACGATATCATAATTATGAGCTGTCTTCAAACAGAGAAGCTGGTGAAGGACGTTTTGATGTTAGAATAGTACCAAATACAGAAAAAGTAATTTATGAGGTATCAATACTTATGGATTTCAAAATATACGATAAGAAAAAGAAAAACATAGATATGGAAAAAAAAGCTAAAGAGGCATTAGATCAGATAAAGGAGAAAAAATACCGCACCGGGATAAGAACTACAAAATTGGTTGAGTGCGGAATTGTTTTTCAGGGGAAACGTGCATATGTGTTGAGTAGGGTTCTTCATAAGAAGGGTGATCAGTGGGTAGAGGAAGCTAAATAATCATTTTTTTTTATACTACGAATGTAAAACATTATAAAATAAAAATAATGTCTATACTTTGTATATTGTCATATTTATTATGCTATTGACTAAACTTACATGCACCGGAAAAATAAAGTTATCATTAGTTCTGTTGGGAAAACTGATTATGTTATTATTGACCATGTGTTAGTCCATTTTTTTTTTCACACGAAATCATAAACGCTATGCTCACACTCTTTCTTACACTGCTCTTTCATTTGGTTTTTTTTCTTTTATATTCTTTTTTTTATATTAAATATTTTTTTATTACCATTATTTTCATAATAGTGTATATTAGAACAATAAATAAATCTTTTTATCAAAAATTTCAAAATTTTTAAATCAAATAAATACAAAGTGTACTTTCCCTAATAATTACGCTTTAACACTTGCAATAGGTAAGTTTATTCTGGTTTCTTTGAGTTTTGGATTAAATAATTATTATGTATTGTTTGAAACTTCTTTCAACTAAAGTTTGTGATTTTACTAACATGTACGTGCTTTTTGTAGATTTTCATAGTATAATTTTAGCATTCTGATTAAATTAATTGGCTTTGATTGGTATGTTGAAAAATAAAATTGTTTGAATACTCATATTTACAAACAAAATTTCAATGGAAAATTTGTGAAGTGTTTTCACTTTAATAATGGTATTTTTTTAATACAAAGGTTATTTTGTAAGGAGAGAATAAATAATAATATAATAGATAATTCTTTACCCATTTGATAAACATTTCTAATATTTGGTTTAGTTTAATTTTTTGTCATAAAATATTCCAAGAAAAATGCTCATACTTTGTATCTCGTTGTAAAATATTTCTTTAATAAAAAAATTAATTTAAAAATCTTGAAAAATTTCTATAAATGTTACGCGCGTATTAGCGTATAATGTATAATAAAAAAAATTTATGAAAATTTTCTAAGATAAAAATGTTACGTGCGTATTAATGTATATATTATAAAAAAAAAATTTATGAAAATCTTCTAAGATGAAAGTTATAGTTGTTACGCGTGTATACAGTAGTGATATGGAAAGTTGTGGAGTCCGGTGTGGAGTCCGGTCCCATATGTGACAGTTTACTCTAACACGACGGCCAAACACGTGATTCAGAGTGTACCAACATGGCATGCTCAAAAATATTTTCGGGCTGAGATAGTATTCATCAAGGTATCAGGCGTAATCATTATTATTATTATTATTATTTATTTGAGATATTATGTCAATAAAAATAATAATAAATATTTTAATATTTTTTGAAAAAAAAAATAAATATTATTTTTGGTAGTTCTTATCACCTGAGTACGCTTCACACTCTTATGTTACACACCGCCAAATGTCACCGTACTCCACTCAACATCCTCACCGGACTCCACAACTATTCTTCTCACAGGTATACAGTACATCGTGAAAAATTTTCCAAGATAACAGATAAATGTTATGCAAAAATAAGTCTTGTCTAATGGATTTCGGTGGCTGATTAAATCAATCATATTTAAGGAGGGTCTAGGATAAGAATTCTGAACCCCGGGGTCTAGAATAAGAAACTTGAACTGGGGTCTAGGACGCGTTTAGTTTTTATTTTTCTTAATAATTTTTTTCATATCACCTTTCTCTTTTTTCTTTGGGTATTGAAGAAAAAAAAAAGAAAACAAAACGCAGTGAAAACACGAAAAAGAGAAAACAAAAGAACAAAAAGAAAGAAGGACCGAAAAGAAAGAAACAAAAAAAAAAAGAAAAGAAGTTAGAAATGAATTTAGAAAACGAAAAAGAAAACAAAAAAAAAAAAAAGAACCCACCTGTATGTGAACCGATATGCATAATGATGATGATACAGTAAATGATGAAGAGATTGATGTTGATGCTGAAAATGATTGGGATCTAGAATTAACAGTAGAAAATTATTTGTAAATTGTAGTATAAAGCATAATAGCATGTAATATGAATATATATTCATTTAATAAATTTCATCTATTCATTTTATTGAGATTGTAAAAATAATCATAAATTCTAACGGAAATTTTGGAGGTTTCAGAAATTTGTAGATCTGACGGAACTCATAGGTTTCACCTACATCCGAAAATATAACATGACAAAAGAAAAAAATGAAATTGCTAAATCTAAATCTCACAAGTATATATATACAGTATTTTCTTAAATAATTCGTATTTCAGATTTTAATAAATTTAGTAGGCTATTCTTTAAAGAAAAAAATTTTTAATTCATTCACTTTCAGAAATATGTTTATTATCTTTAGGAATGTTTTTTCTTTGAAAATATTTATCTTTAATTAGGGAATTTAAGAATGCCGAACACATTGGAACTTAATTGTTTCTTCTTTTAAACAAAATTCTTATATCAATTGCTGCATATCATTAACGTTTTATTTTCTCATTGTTTTTAATACTGAACTCTCTTTTCAAATATCGCAGTTATGAATCAAAAAATTTATTTTATGAACACTAGACTTAGATTTTCTTATCTTTTCTTTTAAAAAAAGTCTATTAAGGACATTCTTAAGAATAATTCTTTAAGAATACGAATTTTCTCGGACTTCTTGATAACTGTTTTTTTTCTTTTAAGGTTTCATTTGAATTTGATTTCTTTCTCGGCATTTAGTATTTTAATGGTTTCTTTATAATAATAACAAAGTTTGGCTTCGATAATTAAATAGTTTCAGTCATCAACAATGTAATTTTACCAAACCAGCTTATATACTGTAATTATTATTATTATTTTTTTTAAAAAAAAAAACACGAATAAAATTTGTTTTATTTGATTATTGCGTAAATTACAATTAAACTGATGATGTAACGTTAGGTAATGGAAAGATGTTTGAAATTAAAGATACAAGAAGAGATTTTACAGCAATTAATGGTAACAGCGGGTAACAGGCAAAAAAAGTATTAATGTGGAGTATGGGATTATAAAGATTATAAAAAAGCAGTAGATACGAGAGTCAATAAATCATTGAGTCTATGGCTCTATGGATTGAATACATATAGTTAAAAAATATGAAGAACCTTACACTTTTATGAATTATAGTTCAGTTGGTATCATATAAAAGGTCGTTGTATGGAATTTCTGTTTTACAGCATGAGTTTTACTACATATTGTTAATACAAATTAGATATAATACAGATTTGAGTAATTCGCCTTACGAAGAAATATATAAAACTCGGACTCAAAATTATTATAATGCATTACTGTACATACATACACATACTGTATATATCATAATTATAAAAAGATTTAAAGTTACAGAGGATGTTATTCCATATGCTTAATAGCTGTAGTTCCATAATTAACCTTTATTCAACTTGGTTTTCATATTAAAAATAAGATCATAATAAATTTTCCTATTTATTTCGATTTAGATATGATCAAAACTAGCATTTTCCAACTTTTAGTGATAATATAAAAGTAATGAACTTCTTTTATAATTTAGTAGTTGCCACTTATTACTAAACGCAATTATGTTTTAAACAGATACTAAACTCAATAGAAAACTCAAAAATCGGAAATTTTATCTCAAAAAAAAAAAATTAAGAAATTATAGCCAACTATTTTATATAAATTTTATAAAGGTATAACAGATAAGATGAATTTATTAAAGAATTATACATAAGTAATAAACAAAAACTTCTCAGAATATATATTGAACATAGAAATGTTTAAGATTAATTTGTATTTTTTTCAAGTAAATCTTTTCATTAAAGAAGTTCAATAATATTTAAGTCGTATATGTTTACACTTGTTGATAAAATCCTATAATTTCATAATAAAATAATACAGTGTTTTTAATTTATAGTTAAGCAATATATTTATAATAAAAGAGTTACTAGAGCAAATACTTTAGCCGGAATTTTTGACTTATAGTTTATAAAGATAATCATAATATGCGCGAATCCACATTGAACTCATACTTATGTTACTCAAGTCAACTTGAGTCAATTCACTCTATTAGTAAATAATATAATCTAATTTGAGCGCCTTCATTTCCTTTTTCAGCAGATTTTTTATACCAAAATATTGCTTGATCAATATCTATTTCAACTCCCTCTCCATTTTCGTACATTGCACCAAGATTATATTGAGCATAACAATTTCCTAATTTTGCAGATTTTTGATATAATTCTAACGCTTTTTGCAAATTTATGCTTGTTCCGATACCAAAATGATAACAATATCCTAACAAATTCATTCCAACTGAATGTTCTTCCTCTGCTGGTTTTTTTAATAATCCAAAAGTTTTTTTATAATCAACATTAATACCACTTCCATCTTTATACATTAAAGCAAGATTACATTGAGCTCTCATATTTCCTAAATTTGCTGCTTTTTGATATAATTCAAATGCTTTTTCTGTATTAATATCCGTTCCAACTCCATGTTTGTAACAATAACCTAACCTATTTATTGCATTTGGATTTCCTTCTTTTGTTAATTTCTCTGATAATTCAAAAGCTTTAATGTAATTTTTTCCAATACCCTTTCCATGAATATATATATCGGCAAGCTCTAATTGGGCAGCAATATTTTCTAATTCTGCCGCTTTTTTATACAATCCAAATGTTTTTTGATTATCAATATCAATCCCAATACCCTTACAATTAAAATATCCAAATAAATAAACAGAATTTGAATCTTTTTGATTATTTAATAACCAATAATAGATTTCTTGTACACTTATCTTGTAATTATTAATATGATCAAGAGTATGTTGTTTTCTTATATTGTCTTCTTTTCCACTATTTAGTTCCTTACAATGAAGGTTAACCAACTCATCAACTACAACACCTAATTCTTCTTCAAATATAACATCATGAATATTTTGAGCATTAGGTTCTATTTCTCTCATATAAATTTTAGTAAAATCTTGAAATATTTCTTTATATAATACATTATTATGAGTAATTAATGTATTGATATTTTCTAAATTAAGTTGTTGCTTGTTTAATGATTGAATTAAATAATCTTCTATTATAATATTTGAATTAGTGATAATTACTTTTAATTTGGAAACTACTTGGTTCATAGTTGGTCTGTTATTTGGTTCATTGTCCCAACATTCTATATATAAATTTTATTAATAATATTGATAAATTAGATTAGAAAGATTAAAATCAAAATTTATATTTACCAGTATAAAGAATAGAATAATTGGAAGGAGTATCTGAAACAACGATTTCTCTATAACCTTGTACAATTCGCATAATTAAATCAGCGTCATGTGATTCATCTTTAAATGGTGGTTGGCCACTTGATATCTCCCATAAAATTACTCCAATACTGTAAACATCACTCTTTTTATTTAATGAATATGATTGTATAAAATTATTATTATGATTTAGCCACTTTGGATCAGTATAAGGAATCATTTCAAATAGGTCTGATTCTTTTTGTTCAGATACTACTTTTATTCTTTTTGATAATCCAAAGTCAGTTAATTTGATAGTATTTTGGTGAATTAATATATTATTGGAGCACTATTGTATAAAATATAAAATGTAATATAAGTAAGTTTTAAATTATGATTAGAATAACAAACAATTTAATATTAATTACCAAATTCCGATGTTCAATTCCTTTATCATGTAAATATGATACAGCACAAGCTAGTTGGTACGCTAATTTGTATTTATCTTCCCATGAAAGTTTAATAAAGTTTTCTTTCAAGTAGCTTTGAAGAGAACCGCTATCAGCATACTCCATTACTATTAAATATTGTCTCGATTGATCGTTTTGATTTTCTAATTTTTTTTAAAAAAAAATTAAAATAAATAACAAAATATAATTAACGTACAAAATAAATCAAAATATCTAATACCGTCTTTTTTATATAATATTTTATACCTTCATTTGTAATACCAAAAAATTGAATAATATTTTTTTGAAAATCGACTTCACGATGAAGTTCAAACTAAATTACAATAATCGATATTAAATAATATTTAATTTACTTTTAAATCAAAGATATTGTACTATACATATTATTATTATGTTTTTGTAATAATTACCTCATAAATTATTTCTTTTACAGTGACATTATCAAGATTAAATGATTTCAATGTAAAATATTGATCCGAATTTTTCAATTTTGCACGATAAACTTCTCCAAAATCATTAAAATCATTGTTTCCTATTTTTTCAATATTATGAAAATTTTTATATTCGTAATATTTTATTTGATTTTTAGATGTAATTTCTTCGATCCAGTTATTGGTTTGTTGCATTTCAATGTTACTTGACATTGTGGATAATAAACAATACTGGATTTTTTTCACCTTATTTATTTAATGTGCGGTAGTACAGTAGCACCGATTACAAATATAGAAATATTTGCATATGATAATAGACGATCATTGTGTCATGCATTTCTACGTCATAGATTCGGCAATCAAAATAATCGAAACAAATAAACATTTGAAGCATTACGAATATTATAAAAAAACAAAGAAGGAAGGCAATGTGTTTTAATTCACGCTTACGTTTATCAGTGTATTTAGACTAAGCATCAGATTATCATCAAAAATTTCTATACATTAAATAAAATAAAACGCCAAGTTTTCATGGTATCGATGTTTATTCTTAGGCAGCCAATTTCATACTGTAAATTTACAATACGAATATTTGTCTCTTTATTACATACTAAAATTTGATTATATAAAGCAAATATATTAATGAATTATAACGAATAATTTATATCTAACAAATCAACTTTCCATTTGTTCTTCAATATATTTATAGAAATCTAATATAACATTAAAACTAAAAAATAAAAAATATTCCAATTCTAAAAAGTCATAAAATAACACAATAACCATTCTTTATAAATATACCTAATAAATAAATTATGAAATTTAGAAATTATGTTATATAAAACTTTTAAACTTAACGTTAACAAATGAATTTAATACCATCATTATAAATCAAGAAGACTTTCTAATTTATTTTGAGCATCCATATCTCCTTGTTCAGCAGATTTATTATACCAATAAATTGCTTTATTTATATTTTTTTCAATTTCATTATTTTCTCCATATTCATACATAGAAGCAAGATTAAATTGAGCTATACTATTTCCTAAATTTGCTGCTTTTTGATATAATTCGAATGCCTTTTTTATATTGATTTCAGTTCCAAATCCATTATTATAAAAATATCCCAACAAATTTATTCCAGCTGAAAGTCCTTCTGCTGCTGATTTATTTATTAATTCAAAAGCTTTATAATAATCTGTTTCGGTACATGTTCCATTTTTATACATCAAAGCAAGATTACATTGAGCTCTAATATTTCCCAAATCTGCTGCTTTTTGATATAATTCAAATGCCTTTTGCATATTAATATCTGTTCCAATTCCAAGTTCATAACAATAACCAAACCTATTTATTGCATTTGGAATTCCTTCTTTTGCTAATTTCTCAGATAATTCAAAAGCCTTTATATAATTTTTTCCAATACCCTTTCCATGAATATATATATCAGCAAGTTCTAATTGGGCAATAATATTCCCTAACTCTGCCGCTTTTTGATATAATTCAAATGCCTTTTGTTTATTAACATTAGTTTCAATTCCATTATAATTAATATATCCAAGTAAAAAAATAAAATCTGAATCATCTATTAACAAATAAGGAATTTCTTGTAAATTTATCTTAAAAATTTTAATATAATCAAGAACATAACTTTTTATCACCTTTTTTTCTTTTCCTTTATTTAATTCCTTTAAAATATGATTAACCAATTGATTAATTAAAATACTTAAATTCTCTCCAAGAGAAATATTTTGTACTGTAGGTTCTATTTCATTTATATTTATTTTATTGAAATTTTGAATATTTGGATGATTATTATTTAAACTATTTGATATATTTATCTCATCTGATTCCTTAATAATCTGCATTTTCAGTTTTATTAGATATTGTGAACCAACAGTAAACAAAATAATTATTGTAGGAAAAGTAAAAAGAAAAAAATTCCGTTATTTTGTGTACAGTAGTACTGGTAGTACTACTGTATGTAGATGTATGTAGATCACGTCCGCTGAATGATGTGCCTCAGGTGTCGATTTGCGTCATTTGATTGACATCTGACGTGCGTCACCAGCTAACTTCATGATTCGACATTACTGATACTAAATAAGTTGTTGAAAATTTATTTCAGAAAGTCAAGTTTGAACGTCAAATTATTAATAAATAGCAATACATATTAAGATTGTCATTTTCCATGCAACTTTATTTATAAACTTGCAAGAATATTCTTTTTTGCTTTTTCTTATAGATATTTCGTAAGAGGTTAAAACTTTAGACTATACATATATAGCCAATAAGAAAAATCAACTTACTCTGTTTAAACTCGCTGAACCCGATTTGGAACTAAAAAGAAGAAAATTTTTTTAATGAATAATAATTTTAAATAAAAAAAAATGACGAAACTAAAGTTACGCAATACAAAACTCGGTGTTTATCGTAGTACCGCAGTAACTCTCCTAAACCTAAAAAAAACCGAAAAGAAAACCAGCTTTATATCAAATTCAGTAACTTTGCTCTCGTACAATTATCAGTTATCACTACATATAATAGCAGATTTTAAGTACAATTCAATGTTTTTATTTTTGCCAAAATATCGATAATATCTAATTAACACGTATTTAAGATTACATCCTCATGAATTCACAATAATGAAATAAGAATAAAAATATTGTAAAATACTTTTGTCTGTCTTTTATCATTTTAAAAATAATACAAATAATTTAATTTTATCGATTTCACAGCAAATTTCATGTTGGTTTTTACAGCCAATTCCATGTTAATAAAAATCTATTATTAAAAAAATACAAAGAATTTTCCATCTATTATATTCTGATAGAAAACTTATTTTTGCTTTCTATTATTTTTACCAACCTATTGTATTAAAAAAATCCCAGAAAATTTTTTTGTATCCATTATACCATATTGATCTATTGACTCTATTGTTAAAAAAATCTCGGACTGGTAAATTTAAAACTTTATTTAATTAAAAATAAAATTAACCAAGAATTCGATGAATTTCGTACTTATAAAGTTTATGAAATATCAAGTAAGAAATTTGTCTCTCGGAATTTATTTCCTTATAAAAATTATAAAAGTAAAATTAAAAAAAATTTTTTTTGTTTAGGAGGATCAAAATCAAATAAACCAAGTAGATAATGACGAAAATAATGAAATTAATATTCATTATGCTTTAATTAACGAAAAGTAAGTATAATTAATATTGTTTATCATTACTTGTGATTGTAAAAAAAATTAAATTTTTATCGTATTTTTAGGAATAAATTTAAGATAATACTTGCAACCCCGGATTGGGAAAAGTTCTTTTAAACTTTTTTAATTTTGAAAATTATATAAAATTGAAGGAGAGATTCCTTCTATTGAAGGTACTTTTATTACAAACAATTTACCTTTTGGTAAAGAAAAAAAAAATCATTTCTTGTATTCATATTGTTTAAACAAGTATTATGCTGGATTACAAATAGTCTTCTTTTTTATGGCTTCTATATTTTCGTTATTGTCCAATACTAATTAGTTTTCTACAGAAGGAGACATTGCTTCACAATAGGAATAATTCAGAAGGAACGATGATGCTATCCTATGTTGCTACTCAATTACTAATCTATTTCTGTATCCATTGCTCTGTTGTTGATATCAGCATCCTTCTGTGATATGATATAAAACGCTAAAAAATTTCGATTTCCTCGGGGAACGTGTTAAAAGTCACGTGAAGAGACTGTGAACTCAGTTATACTTGCCGCCCATTTAAATGGGATGGGAGTCCCATCCCATCCCATCCCATCCCATCCCAAATCCCAAATCCCATTCCCATTCCAATCCCAAATCCCAATCCCAATCCCATCCTAAATCCCAAATCCCATCCCAAATCCCATTTCCTATAATTTCAGCCAAATTTTATAATTCCGGCCAAAATTTCCTTTTTGGGCACTTGAGTAACGTTACACAATCCAAAAAAGGCAATTTTGATTCTCATCAAAAACGGGGAAATGAGTTACAC